AGGGCCTGTTTTGACTGCACATTATATTTGAGGGCCATTTAGCTTTTCAGCATGCTTCCTTACTCTGCATTTATAGAATCTGATTTTTTTTTTAAATAGGAATCATTTTTCAACTCAATTTTCAGAACTTTTCATTTGCATTCAATAAATTGCATTCTCCTTACTGATGTTGCAGTTCATAAAGTATACTTCAATTATTCCTTCCTACACTGCAATGTGCCAGGTAGCATTGTTTTTTCCAGAAATAATGTCATGATGACAAAAGCAGAGAAGCATTCAGGACTCTATGGGAAATGTCTGCTGCAATTTGGGGTTGGCTTCTTTCTTGAGAATTTTCAACAAATTCAGTCAGGGTGAAATTAATAAGTCAGGTTTTAATCTCAAATCTCTTCTTTTCAGGTGAGCATGTGGTCGTCTTTACCCATCTTCTATTCAAGGGCCTAAAAATGAATTAAGCTTTACTTCACTATTGTGCAATAGATATGTAGTATAAATCTACATTTTACAGATGTAGAAAAGAAGCAAAATGAGTTGTCTCAAACAATATGATAGTAAGTGTGTGGCAGAACAGCAAATAGCATTCATGTGTCTTGTGCATTAAGCATGAGATCAGTTTTCTGCAGCAAATCCAATGTTTCCATCTGTAATAACAGATGAACTAGTCCAGAGGAAATTCACAGAGTTCATGAAAGTTGTAAAGATTCATTTTGACACTTTTGAAGCACATTACAATAGCCAGTAATAATGAGATGCCCAAATCAAGTGACCCTGATGTTACTGTTTCTTTAAAATTGCACTTGGGCAAAAATTATCTCAGCAAATCAATAGCGTGGAATCATTATAAAACTCAAAACTGGGCAGCCAGGTCTTATGGAAGAGTCAGGCTTAGATCTGGACTCCGCCTTTCACTCCCTAAACCTGTAAGAGGCTAGGGATCTGTTGAATCTCCATGAATGATTTGGCTTTTTCACAATCCTACAACACCCCATTTGCTGACTATTATGTACAATGGTACCTTTGCAAAGAGAATCCTCAAAGAATTTTTCACTGCCATCAATGACTACATTAAAAAAGGCTAGAACACGGGGCAGAGGGCACATCCCTCAATGCTAGAAACCACGGTAAGAAAAAGAATCCATCCTACATGGGAGAGTTATGATTGAAAATTAATTCATATTGCATAAAAACAGAATACTCCCTGTCAAGATCTGTTCTTCCAATGGCCAAAGCCACTATCGGGCTACACCATGTGGCACAAGTCTAGAGCCATGATTATAGACTGCTCAGAGCTCAATTTCAGGGAGCTTGGATTTAATTCTTAACCATTCAGACAGGTTGCAGGGTGTTATGGTAACTATAAAAACGACAGTTTAGGCTTTTAGAAGAATAGAAAGGCTGGAGCTGAGAGCCTCTGAGGCAGAAGCCAGAGACTCAGAGCATGCAGATGTTATCACAGGGTTGATCAGGAACAACAAAGGAAGACTAACTAGGAAGATGGATTAATTGGAAATAAGGCCCAGATATAGCATCTGAGAATAAGCAGGGGTCTCAGAAGAAAATGAGACTAATGATCTATTATAGTGTTTTTGACAGTGGCTGATGGATTTATTGCATTTACAAGGTTTGATGGAAGGGCTCTTTTCTGGTAACGAGATACCCACAAGGAAAAATCTCTGCAGCTGCAATAGCACCATTGAGTGTTTATCTGTGGATCCCTCTCACTCTGAAGTGAAGAGCCATATTCACTTCTGGCTAACCTCAGTGGGTGAAGCTATTACAATGGAATTTGTGCCAAGTTCTGTTAAAAGCTGCTAGAGCAATGGTCCAATTTCTGTTTCAGGATGACCGCATCAGCATTTACACAGGCTGTTTACCAGTTCTTATTGAAGTAGCAGAGGTATTCTATGTGCCATGAAGCAATTCAGAGATAATAGAAAGAAGGCCCTATGTGGGAGATGGAAACTTCTTTCAATTTGTTTTTATTCCATTAAGATGTGTATGTGCTACAGCCAGGGTAAAGGAGTGGACACTATTTGGCACACTATTAATTGCTCCCTGGTCTGCAGACATTTATTTTTCCAAATCAATAGATAATGCAGCAGCAGAAAGGTAGTCCAGTGTGGAAACTGGCTGGGACTTTCAGAAGTGCCTCAGAGTATGTCTGTACTATAGTTAGACACCAGGGACTGGCCCATGCCAGCTGTGTTGGGCTCACAGGGCTCAAGTTAAGGAGCTCTTTAATTGTGTTATAGTTGATCACACTTGAGATCTGGGATCCTCCTATCTCACAGAGTCCTAGAGCCCGAACTCCAGTCCATACCAGAATGTCCACAATTAAACTGCCCTGTGGCCTGATCGCTGCAAGCCTGAGGCAGCTGGCACAGGCCAGACATGGGATTTTAAGTGTAGCGTACACAGTGGCATAGAAGCACAAGCTCCACTGGAAGTCATCTGGGCCTGAAAAATAACCATATAAATCAGGCAGCAAATCAAAACTAGTTAACATAGTTGGCCTGATTCTCATTTACTTGGGGACAGGGACCTTTAATACCACTCAGATTGTGTAGTAGACCTTAAAGTGGACATAGCTGTAATATGCCCTTTTCACACACCTACACCTAGTTTTAGGCCTCCCTATACTGCCACAGTGGGTGTCATGGCAAAGGAGCCTTTGCGTGACTGCAATAAGCTCACTAATTCTAATAGAGTGTTTTCAAAATAGGGAAGTAAAGGGTTAACCCGTTATCTAGTAAGCGTGCTCCTTACCGGGATAACCAGTTAACTAGTATGGGGCTGTGGGCTCAGCCTGGCCAGGCTGGAGCAGCTCCCACCTATAGGGTGTGCCGTGGATTGTCGACTGCTCCAGCCTGGCCAGGCCAGTCATACAGAGCCATGCCATGGGTAAGCCAGGCCAAAGGCGCCGCAAG